CCCCGATACACTCTTGGTCCCGCCCTAATACACTCCTGGCCCCGCCCTGATACACTCCTGGCCCCGCCCTGATACACTCTTTGCCCCGCCCTAATACACTCCTGGCTCCGCCCTGATACACTCTTGGTCCCGCCCTGATACACTCTTGGCCCCGTCCCTTGCAGCTGCTGGATCAGCATGACACTCAGGGCCTGAACATCCACTGGCTGAGGGCGCAGATCGGCATTGTGTCCCAGGAGCCCGTGCTGTTCGACTGCAGCCTGGCCGAGAACATCGCCTACGGTGACAACAGCAGGGAGGTGCTTCATGAGGAGATCGTCACGGCGGCCAAAGCCGCCAACATCCACTCCTTCATCGAAGGGCTGCCCGATGTAAGTGGCTTTTAATAACCCCCGATGCTGCTAAATCCGGGCTCTCACGCTCCTTCCCCAGGGAGAAGACTCGCTGCCATGCCGATTACCCCCAACACCGGCCTGGCTGATAGGCGGCGGCCTTTCAAATGGGGATCTTAAAGCTTTACCTTTCACCTTTAGTAACTGGGTGACTGTTTCTTCAAAGTGACACCACAGGGCCGAACCTCCGGTGTCGCTGGAGCCTTTAACTCTGGGCCGGAAATCTCCCTCTCGGAGTTTAACGCGTGATGTGATTCCAGAAGAAGTGCGAAAGCATTTCTGAGATAGCGAGTAGCATAGCAGAGCCGGACCCCAGCAAGCAAAGGGGACTGATAAGGCTGCGGCTTCTTCTCTGTCTGCTGCAGAAGTACAAGACGCAGGCCGGCGACCGCGGCACCCAGCTGTCCGGCGGCCAGAAGCAGCGCGTGGCCATCGCCAGGGCGATCCTCCGCAACCCCACGCTGCTGCTGCTCGACGAGGCCACGTCAGCCCTGGACACGGAGAGCGAGAAGGTGTGTGGGATCAGCCGTTCACAAAAAAGAATCAAACCATTCATATTCACATGGCATTTCCTGCTGGGCACCGTGGGGTGGAGCCTATCCCAGGAAGCTGGGGCACACCCTGCTTAGGATGCCAGCCTATTGCAGGACGACCAGGCAGTGCAGGGTATGACAGAGGGGTATGACCCGGACGACGCATTCGCACACACACTCACAAACATCATACAACACTGGAAATGTATAGTCCCAGTTAGCCTGTGTTTGCACTGTGGGATGAAACTGGAGACACCCACACAACATGCAAAGAACATGATAATTCCACATGTGCAGTGAAATAAAGAGCTGATGTGAATGTACAGACTGTGGGGGCAGCGGTGGCTTAATGGTTAGGGAAGAACACTTGCTATTGAAAGATTGCTGGTTTGAATTCCTGACCAGCGAAGTACCACTGAGGTACCCTGAGCAAGGTACTGCTCCCTGAGTGCTGAATTAGCTGCCCCTGTTATGTCACAATGTCACATATGGGTTAAATGCAGAGGACACATTTCGTTGTTGTGTGCCATGGTGAGTCAACAACGACAACAAATCACTTCACTTCAGGTTCCCATCACTGCCCCCTAGTGGTAGTAGCTGTGAACTGACCTTGGTGACAGCCAGTAGAAGTGTGGCAGTGTAACAGAATTAGACCTGCATGTCCCCTCACCCCCAATGCAGATCGTGCAGGAGGCTCTGGATAAGGTGCGGGAAGGCCGGACCTGCATCGTGGTGGCCCACCGCCTCTCCACCATCCAGAACGCAGACCGCATCGCCGTGCTGAAGGATGGGGTGGTGGTGGAAATGGGAACGCACCAGCAACTGCTGGCCAAGCAGGGCGTGTACCACAGCCTGGTGTCATCCCAGATGGGGCATGGAAGGCCGTAGCTGGATGGCTTGCGGCTGTACTACAGTCTGAGCTCTCCTGTTGGCGAGCTGGGGCTGGGGCTGGGGCTGGGGGGCACCCAGGTCCCAGCAGGTCCAGCACCCTGAATTCAGAGAGCTTATTTACATGGATGACGTGCACCCATGGTGGAGGGATCTCTAAAAGCAGGAAGCTAGATATAGGAAGGATCCAGAAGATTGCTTTAATGCAGCCATTCACCTGACACCATATTTAACATTAAAGTGCTTATGATTTACATATAATATTTGCATACTTAAGAATTGATAATTAAACAATAAGAATCAAGCCTGCAGATTCCCAGACAGCAGATTTTAGGCTGTGCCCTGTGGGCCAATGTACTGGCCTCCCATTGGCCGGCCTGGGATGGGCGGAGATGAACCGTGCAGATTGGCACCCAGAAGGCCCATTCAGGTATATTTATAAATGACACATGCTAATCATTTATCTTTGTCTATGGCAGCCTTAACAATTAAATATTTGGCCTTTTCTATTCTTATGTAAACAGTTATGAATAAATATTAACTTTGCACTGTAAGTATACGTATTGTGTAAAATTCATCCTTTGATTCAACACAGCCAGCTTCGAACCTGTGTAGTTTGCATATTTTACAGACGCTCAGTGGATTTTATTCCCCACCGGGAGGACCCCCACCACAGATAAACACAATTTTAAGTCGCAAAAAAAAAAAAATCAGCAGTTGTCAACTTTAAAGCATTTTATTGCTAGATCATTCAGCATTTCCTCTTTACAGACATGCTCTGAATCACAGAAATGTTTCAAGAGTTTACAGCCCATCATCTACATGATTACATGTACAAGGACCATGAAATGATAATCTTCATCAGTCGCACAAAAGTATTTTTCCCAAATGGTTTTTGTTTGGAAAATATTATTTTAGTTAAAACCTGGTACATAAAGACCATCTCTGCTGTGATTCCGCATTTCAGTCAAACGCTGATGCTTGATACAGGTTTGTGAGAAGGTTGATCCACCGATGAGCAAACAGCTCGGAACCTACCTGGCAGTTAAAGGAAATCATTCCTGGTCTATCGGTTTCAGACATTCATTAAATGAATGTCATTGCTACTGTAAGTGCTCATAAGGGGCGACTGACAAGGACGCGGGGGCAGTGAGGAACATCCAGAGATCGAGAGCCAAAGCTCTGGGTTACTCCTGTCCTCCAGCTAGTGACGGGCAAGACAAGCTTCATGAACCATTTGCTGTATTTTTTGACCTCACTAGGTGGCGCTCTTGGTTTACTTTGGGTCATGCTTTGAGCCCTTTTATGAGAGCACCATCTAGTGGGGTCAGACAATACAGCAAATGGTTCATGAAGCTTTATTTGCTCATCACTACCTCCTGCAGGCCCCATCGCAGATTTCGTGGAGCACTAAAGCAGGCTGACAGTGGAGTTGCTGGTGCTGGAAAACAGCGACACCTACAGGCAATTAGCAATCCGGCAGCATCACGCAGTCTCCCTGATGTGAGTCGGCTGCACTGTAACCCTTTACAGTCTAACGAGGTCTTGGGCCTGATCACCGTCCCCCCTCCACTCCGACGTCCCTGCGACCAACCTGCTTGCCAGTCGTCCCCTCATAAAACACCATTACATGTTAAAAATCAGGTATTAATTACTACTTTTTAAAGTTTTAAACAGTCATGTTTCTAATGCTGCGTCTCAGATCAATACTGTTTTCTAGGACAAACACACACACCGCGGCGGAGAGGAAACACGGTACTCCATGCTCACCACGCCTGTAATAAGGCGTCCCCTCCTGAGGACCGACCTCCCTCCATCACTGCAAGTGACTGGCCTCCCGAACTGTTTAATACGCCGATAAGAGACTCTTTACTGGCTCAAGGGAGACTCTAGTATGTGAAGCAGCACATTACGCTGGGACAAGAATAGGAAAGGAATAGGAAAGGCAGGGATCTGCATTGTTACTGCATGATTAAGGTTTGCATTGATGGTTGCTTTGATTGCAAGAGAAGGAGGTTCCTGGGATCTAGAGCTGGGACATGGTGGTGAGGTGCAGCATGTTCTGGAAGGCCACGCCGAGGTTCTGGAAGAGCTTCTCTGCATCGGTGTCAGGGCAGGACTTCCAGGCCGAGCAGGACACCACGATCCTGGGGGGGGGGGCGGAATACAAGACGAGGGTGAACATCTCCACCCCCGCGGGCCACCAGCTCTCCCCGGCGGCTTTCATCCGCAGGCCGCTTAAAACATGACATCACTGCGTCTCTCGGCCCGTCGTGAATCATCATGCCGTCTGAACTTCCCCGTTCCGCACGTCAGATCTAATCCCAGCGCCTGCCAGTGTATTAACTCTATATAATCAAAGAGTGTCGGGACAAAAGCACACAGGTATCCTATCAGCCTAGGTAAAGGTCTCGCTGATGTCCCCACGACCATCACTATGCCACATGACTGAAAACTCAAAAGCCAAAACAAGGAAAGCCAGTGGTGGGGGGGGGGGATGTAAAGTACAAAGGTGAGATTCCCGTAAATCTGAGCACAAAGCGATTTCATTAGGCTGCTACCATTCTAATGGAATAAACGACGTCAGCTAGTGAAGGGCCCATCCTGCCTGTGACGGGGCCCGTCATTCCTCCTGTAGGGGGGGGGGCACCCTACCTGTCATCTCTGATGCGGTAGAAGAACCCGTAGCCATGGTGCACCATGGGGGCCACTGCACCAATCACGGTGGTGTACCCCACCAGGCTGGTGGACAGGGTGAAGTTCCCCCCTCCGCCACTGCAAAGGAGACACCGAAGGCGTCATTATAAACACGGGGCTCGGGAGGGGTGGGGGGGTGGAGACAGACAGAAACTAAGACAGAAGTGTGTCTGCGTGTCCGTGTCTGCGTGCGTGCGGGGCGTGCGTGCGGGCAGCTGCACCTCCTGAAGTACAGCGGGTCATTGTACAGCTCCGGTACAGGAAGCCCCTCCTCTTTGGCAGTGAGGTATAGGCCCAGAAGGTGCCGGTCAAAACCTACAAAAAAAATGTAATAAAAAGTTACAGAAAGTTCCCCTTTAAATGGACGGTCCACTTAACTGACTGATGCCACACTCACCCTTTCCATCCTGGGCCTCTTTCATCAGCCTGTTGTGCTTGCTGACTGCTTCCAGAAGCTTCTTCCGCCTGGTGTCCATCTGTGAGGGATACATCACTATTTTAAATGGTGGGGGCCAATACTGTTTATACTGGGTCACTCCGCCCCACAAGCCTGACCAGGATAAGCTAACAGAAGATGGATCGATGGACGGTGTCCTGGCCGTCTCTCTAACTAGCTGCGTTTGTCTTTGTTGAACGTTTCTGCCTTCGTTACTACGGTAACCCAGAGCAGAGCCCACTGAACCCTGGGCGTACACTGGCTGTGGGGTCCACCATGGACTGGCACCACTGCTGCGCCTCCAGTGTGCAGGGCCTCATGGTCTCCGTGCGGCCGTGATAGAAACGCCGAGTTGTGGCCGTCTCATAGCAACAACCCGACCTGCGAGAGGAGAGACGAGGAGAGGCGAGGGGAGAGGAGAGGAGGGAAGGGGAGAGGAGAGGAGGGAAAAGGATGGGAGGGGAAAGGAGAGGAGGGAGGAAAACAGAGCAAAGTTCAGCACATGACTGGAAGGAGTAATCGTGCCCAATGAGGAATCCACTTGAGTCTCTCACCAACGCAGTTTCAGCAAAACAATGACTCATTGTACAGGAAATGATTCATATGATACAGTGAAGCCATACACCAGGTACTGAAAGGCAGCTGAAATATAATATAAGGACAGGTCTCTAACCCCCCTTTATACCCCCTAAGTCCCACCCAACAAGGCTCTGTGAGTGCATTTGCATATAAAGGGGGGTGCCCTGAGGGGAGATGGGATAGCGCATGATAGCTGCCCTACCACATTCTTCGTCTCCATCCGTTTTCACAATGCATACGTATTTGGGAGCTGGAGCAAACGAAAGTGCTAATTCTGGGCCCGTGGCAGAGGGACCCACCTCCCATGGAGCCGGAAGTAGGCGAGCTGCAGGGCCAGCTGCACAAAGGTGTCTGGGTGGACCTTCCCGCGCTTGATGGCCGCCTTGCCGAAGGCCGTGAAAGCGTAGCAGAGCACCTGGATGTCACTGGCCTGCGGGCACATAGTGGGCCGGTTGTGAGGCGCTAGGGACCGGGACACGGGACACGGAGACTCTGCTCACACTTAGGGACAAACGCCCAGACTCACAGACTCCAGATAGTGCTGCTTGGCCAATGCGATGTCCCCTCTCACTCTGTCGTCCAGCGTGAAGACGAGCTCCTTCGGTAACGGGACGTCCCGGACAATCTCCAAGCCCTGGGGGCAAACCACATAGCAGGGATTCAACCAGTCTCGTGCTGACGGCCGCAGCTGGCAGAATGGAGGGGCTCTGATTTTACAGGGAAGCTTCTAGAATTACGGCGGATTCATAGGGGTATAGAAGGTGTGGCTGGGCCAGCAGGGAGCCACCCGGCCTGCAGGTGTGATTACTGCCTGCCCCCAGGACGTGGCCCAGCATTCGGGGCAGACCCACCCACCTTCCAGACACCCCCACAGGCTTTCAGCTTCTGATCGTTGTAGTAACACATGGACACCAGCACCATGGCATCATAAGGGGCATGCTGCAGCAAGAGAACAACCACAAGGGGGCGTTACTGAGCAGCACAGGACCCCCATCCCAGAGTTATGGTAAAGTGAACATGTCTGACCTCGCCAAGAACCTCAGAGCACAAATAGAAACAGTCAGCGCTGAGTCAGACTTGCCAAGGTGTTCGTTAGAAGCGCCCAATTTACGTCACAGTTTCGGCTGCTTACGTCACAGTTGGACCCGAAGGTGCCATCCGCGAAGCACAAGAAGTTGTAGGATTTGTCTCCCCAGCGAACCGTAGGGTCTCCCGTCAGGGCTTCCAAAGTCACCTGTGTGAAGAACAGCGAGATGAAGGCGCCCTGATCAGGTCCAGGGGATTATGGACCTCCTGCAACTGTGGTTTTAGGCCATGAAGGCTGGTTCTGCAGGTAACACAGAATCCACACAGAAGACTAAAAAAGCTGCCCGGCGAAAGGGAGGCTGACATACCGTGGTGTAGTTCTCCGGAGAGGAGTAGGGCCGCGACTCGTCCAGCGACACCACGAACAGGCTGCTCTGAATGGTGTCCAGGACGGCCTCGTTCATGGGGTCCATGCTGATGAGATACTCCCTCGCCTGCAAGCGTCGGTATTAAGCAGACGAGCGTACATGTTTAAGCGAACCAAAGCAGACGAGCGTGCATGTTTAAGCGAACCAAAGCAGACGAGCGTGCATGTTTAAGCGAACCAAAGCAGACGAGCGTGCATGTTTAAGCGAACCAAAGCAGCTGATCCTGAGAAGACAGGTAAAAACTATGCACCAACCTTGGCCCAGCGAGTCCTCTCCTCGGTGGTCAGGGCCGAGACCCCCTCACCTTCTGGCTCCTTATCGCACATCTCCTTGATGTAGCTTAACTGCCTGAGGACACGAACAGATGAATTCGAACTTTTCACTGAGC